TCTAATGTCAGAGCTCGCTAATAAGTAGGTAGCAGGTAAAGATTCAGACTTCTCGGGTGATATTAAAGGATCCCCTGACCTACAGAACGGCGAGGTAAATTCAAATTACAGACCTACTAAATCAATAGTAGAAGATAGCCTAGACACAGAGCTTATAGTAGCCGACACCGAGAATACTCTAGGGACTCTTAGTCATACTAGATATCTCAAAGCTACTAGGACGCCTAACAAGACCATCCTCACTTCGGACACAAGCGATTATTTTTCGGACCCTCCCTCGGTACCACAAGCTGTCCCAGCTAGCTTACCGACAATACAGCTTACGGTTTCTGATCCCTGTTGGCAAAACCAAAATTATTGCAGTAACTACGGTATAGTTCAACAACACGCAGAGATTACGTATTACTCGATAAACGCCTTCGTCTCAACACGGTATAGCTATGTATCTATGGGCTCCTCACCACAGATGTACGCTAACATACTATCGCTCGAACAGTGGCCCTTAATCCATATTAATAACTAGACAAATGTTGCCTTCAATTCGGACGTATATTACTATCCTTGTTAGCATTTTGACCTATCTCGCACGGCTCAAGCTCCTTGAGAAGGCTTTTATTTACGGTGGTCCAAAGATCAGACTATATACGATCGATATCGATCGAGTTTACTTAAATAGAATACCATAGGCTTATAGAGTAAAGGTGATGGAGTGGCCGACTCGCGCCGACTTGATATGATTTAATGCAAGTCAATCTCAAGCGTTTGAAATTCTCTGTTTGTGAAGGCGAAGTAGGCTATAGCGAGTCAAGAGATGAATAAAAACTTTCATATTTTGGTAACCTTGACCTAATGATTTTTAAGCTATAGGGTCCGAATACCCTTGAAGATACCTACCTTTATACTCGAACCTTGTGAAACGTAAAACCGACCATGCTATCAACTTCATCCTCGACCATTGACCCAAACTAAGCTTGAACTATATCGAAGCGGGAATATTATCGGTCAATCCGGATTTTGGAATTCAAAAGTCGGTCTCCTGGAAGAAGTCAGGAGCTGCTATCCTGCAACGACTAGCAGGCCGGACCCTATCAGAGAACAAGAATCTTGACGGACTTTGAAGATACTATCTTGTCTTCCCACAGCAAATATACCAGAGACATTCGAAGCAAGGTCCGAACATCACGCTCTGATCACAGCTTAATCCGGAGACGAAAGGGCACCAAGGGCTCAGGCAGTTTTTCACTGTTCCCGATCACAAAGGTCAACCCTCACACGTGAACCTTGTGGCCATCGGCATGTAATCATCTGAGGAGCACGGAAGACTGGTCAATTTGGGTAAGGCGGCCAAGATGGGGTCAGAACGAGCGAATTAGGCAGGAAGGTCACCTAGCCGAGGCAATGGAAAAATGACGCCGAGCACCTCAAACCAGAGTACGATCAATGCACTGAAGTATACTCCATTAACATATTCATATCAGCAATGAAGACCTGCTAGGTAAATGATAGCACGTTTCGGTAAGGTGTATTGTGTATGGAGCTTCGTCTTTCACAGATCAAGCGCCGAGGTGCTGTTTTGCTCTGGTTATGAGCCGAGAATACTACAAATCAGATTCCATTCTCTTAGCAAACAGGCCGTTTAGTCATCAACTTCGTTCCCGAAATCTATCTCCCAGTCGAGCAACCTAACTCAAGGAGACGGGAAGATCCCCATGTCTTTCAGTACATGACTCTGACTGGAACTGGAACTTGACATTTCCAATTTTGTGGGCTTGGAACCTACCTTTCCCATATGTAATAACACATATAATACAGAGCGAATTTGAAGTTTTCGTTGTTTCTATTGAACACAGACATCCAACTTCACTTCGTTCCTACTTCTTCTGCGGTAAGTACGATTCGATGCGCCCATTATCGTTCCGGCAAAAGCAGCAATTACAGCTCCTTGATCTTTATGTAGAGCAGCCGCAAATAGTCACTATCGAGCTGTGCAAACTTTTTCTGAAATGGAATGCCAGCCCGAATCCTCTACCAGGGTTCACAGCGGAAGCAGGGCCTCTGTTCTGTGTTGTACGCCAGTTAGGAAAGTTTTAGAAGGACTCATAAACTCTTATTCAACTGTCTGCGTGGTAATCGAGGATCTCAAGAGCTGGAGGGGAAAAAGAGAAAGAAGAAGAAGCTACAGTACATCCCAGGTTTTTAATGTGGTGCACGTGGTTAACGGTATTTTCCTTGGTGCGCGTGGTACACGGTATCTCCCCTCCGATACTGATTTCTTCTGCAGAAGAAATCCAAGTCCGTAGCTCTCTTATGTTCTCAACATTCTGGGCCATTCAAGGTGGACATATCATAATGGCCAAACTCATCCTGGACTACGGGGCCAAACCCAATACGTTTAACTCATACGGGCGCAGTATTAACCCTTTCTTTACCACACCCCCCAATATTCTGACTGTTATTATGCGAGGTGCTCATGTCCTTAGCACGAGAGTTGCTATTAGCATGAGAATCTTGGCTTTTCCCTCTTTCGGTATTCTTTTTTCTCTATCATCATAGTTTAGGGTAGAACTTTGGCCACTGAGGATATTCTACCATGCTATCGGGCGAAGGTGGGATAGTTCAAAGGTGTGGTAAGGACTGCCGGATTTATTTTTCAGTGGAGAAGATATTTCGCTCTTAAAAGATGAAATGACTCAGCAAGGTGCCTAGCTAACGTAATTCACAAGCGAACCGGCCACACAAGCGAGCCGGCCACCCACCCCCATTTCAAATTTTTTGAACAGGATATCGCAACCAACACCCATTAATTCAACTAGACAATACGATTTTTACACGAAGTAATCCTGTGGCCAATTTGTCCACATCCACTGCAGGTAGGCGGAGCCCTCCTAGCCGGTTGAATCGGCTGATTAGGCAGATCGACCTCCTCATGCGATACTACCTCATCAGCTTCTACTGGCTGAATTAGCTGCTGAGCTAGCTGTAGGCCGTCTTCGATTGATAGGCCCCCTTCGTGTGCAATCCGCATAGTCGATCGAGTGCGCTTTTGACGTTTCTTTTCATTCGCTACGCGTAGATCGGCGTTCTCCTTCACTAGTAGTGTAGTGTTATGCAATGCAATTTCATGGCCCTTGAGAATCTGATCAACCACTAATTTCAACGGGGCTTGGAGGGCTTTTTGACCGCTGATCTATTAGATCTCTCATCATTTTAGCCTGCTTTTGTAGCTGGGCTACTGTTCTAGGCGTTTTTGGTGTGAATTGGCTAGATCTGCTGCTTGGTCGGCTTAATGGTGGTGAAGGCGTTCGGAGAGAAATATTCAGCTTAGAAAGCACTCTATCAGCATTAACTGGTACGATACCAGTAGCTACAAAGCTGCTTTGAACGATATTCGGCTGAAAGCTTCTATCCTTGCGCGTGGATAGTCTGCAAGAAAATCAAGCTTATCGATATGATTATAGCCAGTACGGGTCGCTCACGAAGCGACCGTAGGCACGCTTTAGCACTGCAAAGCACCCAAAATCAAGCGGTTAAAGTAAGTGAGACGAATGCGAAGGCATACAGAGTGGTATAATCTCATTTTCGGCACAGATTCGATCGAATTGAGGTGTAAGATGGCTACCGTGCCCGTCAAGGATCAATAGCCGAAATCGCCCTCGTACACGCGAATTGGTGTATGGAATAAAGATCTTTTGGAGCCAGCGAAGGCCGATTTCATCGGTAGTCCAGCTGTTATTCGATACTTCGATTCGCCAATCCCCAGGGAGTCCACGACTCCACGTCCACGTCCTCTCTCCGTCTCGGTGACTAGTCCAGTAAGACACTCCTGTTAGTGTTCACTCTGTCTTCCGGGATTGGTTGCACGGACATTCCACCCTGCAGTGCGGCACGACTCTTGCCAATGTGATGAGGACGAGGCATCTCATGGCACATTCACACTCTTCCCCTCCACGCTAGTCAAGGGGCACGGCTGCCTCTCCCTCGTGCCTTTCCAGCCGCGAAGCAGCCAAGACGACAGCTCCGCGTGGGCCACACCAGAAGAGCACCAGCACCGGCTCTAGACCTTGTCCAAGAGTCCCCGAGGCCAGTGGGTTATGATCTCCGACTGCATGGGGCAAAAGGGACGGGTTGTACCTTGGTCGGCTGCCCCTCTTTTCTGATTTGGATTTGATTTGATTTCGGTGTTTTTCCCGGTCGGGAGCGACTCGACCCCAGTTGCCAAGCTACGGAGCTGACGGGAACGGAGACGGAGGAGACTGTAGGCTGTACAACAGTCCCAACTGATGGTCGCGACTGGATCAAGAAGAGGGTCAAAGAGTGCTCGAGCAAGGTACCCCCGGTCGCAGTCTGGCCTGCGCTCGTCGCGCGCTCGGGAGGAACGGTGCATGTCACGGTGGAAGGTTGGACTCCGTAAATAGCAGCTGGCTTCCCCCTCCAGCACTACGACCGAGACTTGACACCAATTCCACGGGTACCTCGCAAGTTCGCTTTTAGCACAGAGCACAGTAGTAGGAGGACTCTGAGACTGAGACTCTGAGACTCGGTACTCGGTGGGCGCACTGCACTGACTGACTGTACTACAGCACTACAGTCCTAGTCGGCACTCTCCCATTATTCATGATCTCCTTCATTCTTGATTCCAACCTCTGCCTTTCCCCTCTCTCTCTCTCTCTCTCTCTCTCTCTACTCAGCTCCGACGCAGAGTTCGGTCTTGAGACCCTTCTACAGATGATTCCCTGGAACAATCAATAACCCTACCTCCTGCCTCCTGCCTACAGTTGCCGAACGGCAAAACAATTACCTACTCCCTCCCCTGCTCGAGTGAAGCTGAAGCGGAAGCTCAAGCTTCCCCCTCTCTACTGAGCCTACGGGACCAGTACCACCTCCCAAGCTCCCAGCTCTAAGCTCCCAGCCCTAAGCTTCCACGTCGCATACTCAACAAAAAAAAAAAAAAAAAAAACCACGCAGATCGCCCAATTCCCCCCCCCAAAACACTGTTCACCATGCCGACGACGCTTCAACCCCCTGATCATCCGATCGCCCTGCGTCGCACGCATCTCATCGCCCCCGGCCCAGATCGCCTCACCAACACTCCCACCACCCTCACCATCACCCGCACCAACGCCCTCTCCGGCCGCGGCTTTATCATCCACCACCTCCGCATGCACGAGCCCTACGACAGCCCCACCCGCCGCGCGCTCCTCTACACCGTCACCGGCAAATTCTGGAGTGGCACCCAGGCCCGGGAGATTCGAGACGCCGCCGGTCGACCACTGCTCGAATTGCGGCGCAACTGGTGGCAGCGCGAATGGAGTGTCAAGCGCGCGGGCGCCGCTGCGGGCAGTCTGGGTGGAAGCGGTGGCGGAGGTGGAGGTGGGAATAGCAGCGAAGAGCTGATGGGCGCGGAGATGCGCTGGAGTACCGGGTCCAAGACGAAAATGGCGGTTCGCGTGAAGAATGCGTTGTTAACTGGCGCCGGCCCTGGACGACGGGGAGGAGCAGGAGCAGGAGCAGGAGCAGGAGGAGGAGGAGGAGGAGGAGGAGGAGGAGGAGGAGGTGGTGGTGGTGGTGGTGGTGGCGTCTATGGCGATTATCCCCCCGATGAAGAATTCCTCCGCAGCGAGTATTACCCATCGTATAACCACACGCGCACCGGTGGTCGAGGCGGGGCTCGCCGATCCCAGTATCATCAATATCGCCGGTGGGCGTCCCCGCCCCCACCGTACACCGCGACAGCCACCTCCAACCCGACATCCAACCCGGGCGTGTCCAGCGCCAATCACTCGATTCGTCGGCGGCACTCCACCGACACGGTCAGCTCAAGGAGTGTCCATTTACCCTCGTACGCGTCTGCGCATCGACGGTCCACGCATTCCTTGCGAGAGTTGCTCGAAGCCGTAGAACCGCCGGCGGAACCCGCCCCAGCGACGAGTTTTGCCTACTCGTTCCCTCCCGCGAGACGGTATTCCGAGGCCGCCGTGGGTGAACATGTGGATCTGCGGGTGATCCAGATGAGTACCACGGTGGCGGCCGTGATGATGGGCGAGAAGAAGATCGTGTCGATTCGACGGGAAAAGAAGATGGATTTCAAGTTGGGAGGGTTGATGGATCGGTGGGAGGTGGGCATTGCCGAGGGAGTAGATTTGTTATTGGTAAGTGAATGTACCTCGGAATATGTCCCGTGGAACAAGCCGTGCAACAAGGCACCCCCCCCCAGGCTTGTCCCAAACAGTAAACAGGGCGCTCGCTGACAGTTGCTCGTGTTGCTGCATTGACAGGCTGTCAGCATCGTATTGATCATGGCCGAATTTGTCCGACACGACTACCGCGTGCGAATCAAATAGCACACGGACCAGCATCACAGACCGTCACTCTCAAGCTTGGACTAGTCTGACTGTACGATCCTGAACTCGCTCCAACAGACAAGGTCCAACGGCCACTGGGCGACAAATGCCTCGAAACAAATCCTCCGCCAAATCAAAGCCCTTGTCCAACCCGACAGAACAAAGAAGAATGTCCAAGCAGTGTCTGCCTCTTTTTTACATTTACTGTTTCTCCGTACATCAGCTCGCACTTGCAGCATTTCAACCCACTTTTGGTCTTCCCAACCAGCCCGCGTCGCATATATTCTTGCCTCGATATATTGACCCCACCTCAGGGACATTGTCTCGCTTCGCTTCTACATCAGCTTTCTCCTCTTTTTTGATTTCCCTGTTTTGACTGCTACCTAGCACTGGGTAACGACTTCCACGATTCCATGACCAGCCACGGCTTCGCCTCGAGTGTTGCTTTCTCTTCTCCCCCTTCGCTTGACGCCGTGTCGTGTATCTCTCCTCTCCTCTTATCCCGTCTGATCATTCCTCGCTCTACATCCCCCCGTCACAAATGAACTTCGTGGCAACCACATCAGATATACACCCCGCCCATGACCATCCACATCCCCGTCTAGCCTTTTGTGCCTCGGTAGACACAAGTATGGAGCCTATTCTTCTGCTCAGCGAATAGATATGAAAGTATACAAGTACACAAGTATGGCAATATGACACAACGCAAGTTATTGCTATTCCGCTCTCCACCTCTCAACATGAAACGATCCGCTGAGTCTGACTCCACAGTCCTCTAGTGTATTGCATGTGTTCCTCGCCAGAAGACGATTTCCTAGTCACGTACTCTCGGAATACACTTGATGCTCCGCAGAACTACCAAAGGTCATGTGCCTGGGTAGAAGGTAGAAAGATGGAAGGATTCAGGGACGGAGCTCTAGTAGATTGAAAGGAGTGCAGGCAGATCCCATTCAGGAAGGTAGAGGTACGACGCGTGGACGCGTGGACGTGTATTAGGGCAGTGCCGTGCGTTATTTGAGGGGAATCATCTGGGTCTCAATGAGTTTCGATTCATAGGGGAGGAGGAGGAGGAGGAGGAGGAGGAGGAGAAAGAAAGGCGATATTTACGTCCGACATCCAGCTCGGACTGTGCGTCCTGCCAGGACACTCCCGGCTCCTGAATTCCATTCATTTCACTTACGTAGTATACTCGGTAGTCAGGATACCAATCAAGAATGTCGAAATGAAACATCTCAGCTCCACATAGACCGGTGATTCAAATTCCGAGACTGTGTCAGTGTCCATCTAGATCTGAAAAAAAGGAGGTGATCGCGACGCTCCACGCTCACGCTTACGGCATATACACGGTGTTTTCCTCCCCATGGACCATAAAATCCAAATCAGTCAGATTCCACAGCTCTTCAAAGTCGAAGCCGGAGGAGAATGCTGTCGCTGTTGTCAGGGTGGAATCAGCGCCGACGGCTGCGTGTGCATGTGCTGATTCCTGTCCGTGGCTGCCGTCTCTCGTTGCTGGGTTTGGGTGGGAGTGGCGAGGAAGTATGTTGCCGCTTGGGTTGGGGGCGGGACCACTGACACTGGCACTGACGCTGACGCTGCTATTGCCGGCACTGGCATTGGCGTTGGAGTTGGCGTTGGCAGTTGAGTCTCGGAGTATAATAGTAGTATCTGTTCCGTGTTCGCCATGTCCATCTCCATGTTCACATTCGGTTCTCCCACCCCCTAAACCAACCCTCCCCACCCTCTCCCTCAACAATCTACACGTCTTCGTAAACTCCCCCCCAAACCCCCTCCCCGCAAACCAGCCCTCCACAAACTCCGTCGCCGACGCCAAAAGCTCCACGTCAGATCGTACAAGCCTACTGCGCGGCTGTCGCAGGACGACGAGCGCCAAAATCACGGCGGCCAGATAGGTCGGAGAGACGGAGAGAAGGGTGGATCTGTAATTGTGGCGGTGGTTGTGATCGAGTTTGTTGTCTTCGAGGTGTAGGGATTGGGTGATGATTGAGCGGGCGGCGTGGGCGCAGGTTGTGGCGCCGGTGTGGAGGCGCGAGAGGATCGGGGTGGTGTGGATGTGGGTGGTGATTTCGCGGGTTATGCTGGGTTGGGGGAAGAGGACGGAGACGCGGAGGATGCTTAGTTGGGCCTGCGAGGGCAGTAGAACAGGGAGTTAGTGTGGTGTTTTGTTTTAGGCTGCGGGTGTGCATGATGAAGCGAGTTCTTGGGGACGGGGCGGAAGTGTGTGTCGTGGACATACATGGTAGTATTGCTGAGATAGAAATGTGGTAAGGATGTGGTGGTTTGATCCGACAGCGTCGATGAGCGCCTGTTGTGGTCTCATATTTGATGGGAGGGAATTCTCCCACTGCGATAGTTCCAGATCAAGCTGAGCCACTGCACCCAGCATCTCTGCTGAACCGCCCATGAATTTGTGCGCATAGAGACGGTGCGAGATATTCCCCATGAGTGTAGCAAGGCCGATCCAGGCACGGAAATACCTCGTGGATCGAGCCGAGTCCAGGTGCGACTCGGACTCGGACTCGGACTCGGACTCTTTTTCATCGCCAAATGTGACTCTTAGCGAGTCGTAGCTTCGATCGATGATAGACGGCCTTCCGCATTCAAGTTGCATGAGCTTCTCCAGGCCAAATAGCGCCCACCAGAGTCGTTCCCGTAGACCCTCCGCACCAGGGCCAAGAATGTAGTATTCGCCCGATTCATGTCTCGTTGCTGATTTGTGGAGACCAATCGATTGCGCTATACGGATGGCTTGGCCGAGTATGTTCCAGGCTTGTCCATCCTTGGCGACAGAACGAAGTGCAAGGGTAAGGAGAAAGAGCGCTTGGACGCTGGATGTGTATGGCGTGGCGGTCAGATGGCCATGAAGACTGTGGCTTGCCGTTAGGTATTCGAAGCTGGAGGTTGGACTGTCTGACGTTTCGCTGATCCCGAGAGACACGATTCCGTACATGGAGACGAGGGTGGGAATCTCTGATAGCGATATACCCTCAGGCCATGTGTGGCCCGATACTTGCATCTGATAGATGGTGTTCACGTCGGTTTCGAACTCTGCACGGTCGATGATCGGATGTATTGGCCAGATGTTGGCGAAAAATACATCGAGATAGGTTGAAAATATCCCTCGATCCGGAAGAAGAGGCATCTTGGGAAAGACCGGCATTGGGAACTCCTCCGTATGTAACATTCCATGCTTGGGAAGAGGTGGTTCATGACGAAACCCAAGCTGTGTGAGATGAAGATCCACGAAATTTAAGAGACATTGAACGCTACTAGCGCCGAGATGCTAAATCGGCCTCAGCTTAGACCGTGCACTGGAAAGGTATGCGTAGTGTAAACACAACGAGTATGTTCGGAGTCGGGTTGGAGAAAAACCTACCTTTGTTCGTGGTCTGCTCACTTCGTCAGCATGATCAATTTCTTCGGTAGCCTGCACCACTTCAGAGTCTGGACGCTGCGCCTCTCTTCCAGCTCGAGAGCCATCCGCGCCGTCCTGACCATGCGTCTCCTCATATGCTCGGCTCTGCCACGAGTAGTGATCTTCTCCCAGCCGTTCACTCTGAGTAGTCCGCCACGACGAGTTCGCAGGACTCACGGTCGAACCATTCGACCCATTCACAGCAGACTTCCTCGACCGAGCCCCGACACTCGGCGAAACATGATGATCAACCGATATGATACTTGGTGAAACCCCCAACTCAGCTCCAATCACCACCGGCTCCGGCACAGTGGCTGACCCTGACCCCGACATCACCTCCTGAACATGCACCGGCGCTGCATGATTCAGAACCGAATTGATCGAGTTCACCGGCACAAACCCCCCGCCCGGATTAGGATCTGAATTCGAATCCACAATTTGCCGAGCATGCCTCTCCGCCGCAGCAGCCGACAAACCCCTGTCAGACTTTCCCCGAACTCTTTTGCTACGAGCACTCGCAGCCCGCCGACGCACAGCAGGGTGACTACCACCCGGCTTTCTCAAGTCCGAGGTTTCGCAGACATCGCCCCGCACACTGCAATTCCGACACTTGGGAAGCTGTGCATCGCACCGAACCTTGCGTTTGCGACATTGGTTGCACGCGAGAGCGAGCCGAATCGGCTTACTCGGTGGGGGGATGGAGTCGTTGATACCGGTGCCTTGTGTTTCGCTGGCGTGAGGTTGTGTCTCGCTTGGTAGCGCAAATGGTTGGTGGCGGTCCTTCAGGGGATCAGACATGTCACTTTGGTCACTTGGACCGAAGTCGTTTTATTTTGGCAAGTCGTAGATTGGTCTGAGGATGAGCACCAACCGAGCTCGGACTCTCGGGTGGAGGTCGCAATAAGTGGTTGATCTTTCCCTCTCGGCTGGAGGTGACAGTCATCCGTGCCGATGTGGTCGCGAATGCAGGTCACCGCAGCCGTTGCACCTCAACCCACACCGCAGGAGTGCACAGTCCATTCTCCACAATCTACCATCGCAGCGGAAGTAGACTGAAAACCGGGGAAGTGGTCCGTGCTCTCAGCGCAGACTCTGAGTCTACTGTATGCAATCTTAAGCTTACGTCTCTACGATGCCCTTGATCAAGCTCAGCCATGAATTCGAGTGTATCATTAGATACTATGATTATACCCGAAGCTGTATTACAGGACTCTCCGATTGCTATATGTGCATTGTTTTTGTTGTATTCGCTTTGACTACGAGTCTCTTCCCCATCTGGATTATCATTCAGAATAGACCAGACACAAAACCCTGTTAGCCGGACGCCAGAGGAAAGAATTTGATCCAGTCTTCCACCAGTTTAATGGGAGATAGCGTTCAGCCACCTTGATTCTATCACAAGATGGGGGAAAAAAATTCAAGATCCAAAAAAAAGATGCTCACTGCCAGATTTGAACTAGCGACCTCATGATTACTAGTCACGCGCTCTACCAACTGAGCTAAGCGAGCGACTTAGTCATCAAGCAGTGACGAGGTGTGATCTATAACATTCAAACATATTGCGTTGATCCATTGAAGTACCTCACTACGCTGTACGATGGCCCCGAACCGAATCTTATGCGGCGCACTTTGACTTGAGATTGAAGTCGTCTCATCCTCCGAAGCTATACCCTGCCAGAACTTGGCTCTTATTGATTGATGAGAGTATCCCTGAGTTCTGAATGCCACATAAATGCACAGAGTGTGAGACGTTTCGTGAAGGATGATTGTAGTTATGTGGCAAGCAGTTAATACCCTGGAAGGAAGTCAAGTGATTTCCTTCAGTGCAACATATCATCTCTTGGAAGAGGATCTATCATCCAGCCTTGAGATTTACACCAGGAAGGTGGATCAATTACACGACAGCACACTTCATACGATCTCAGATTGAGTTTAAACAGATACTGATGGGGTGGTTATCAAAGCGCAACAGCCGTTTTGACTAGTCTATCATAGTATTTCACATTCGTCATTCTCATCCTCATCCATCTCCTCACTCAACTGGGACAAAAGGCAAAATCACCTTGCTCGGGTATTCTCCACCGAAATGAATCACATGCTCGCCCTTGTTCTTCTCATGATCCGGTCGAGGCTTGCTGAAAGCAGCCACCTCCGTAAACCCTGGGAATTGACCCAGTATGTCCACCTGAATACTCTCGCCTTCATTATAGTCCACACCCATGGCCCAGATACCAATCTCCAACTTGACAATCTCGCCTCTAGGGATCTTTTGAACCTCGTCATGGGGATGGAAAGGGAATTGAGGATGCAGGGACCGAGATGAGTCGATCTTTCGCTGAGAAGCACGAAGGATACCGATGGATCCGTTGTGCAGAGTGAGGCTGACACGGTCTTTCTCGGCCATGTCGTCAATCGACTTGACGGGTGCACGATTAAAGGGGAATTGAAGCTGAGAGAGCTCCTTGCCATCTTTATCCAGTTTGCGCAGTTGGATGAAGACGATCATGTCATCTAGGGCGTCGCAGCTCATGTAGAGCTCGGCTTTAGGAAGACCGATGAGACGTGACTTCTGGTTGAAGGTGTACTTGAACTTGGAGATGGACCATCGGTCTTCTGAGTTGTGAACGGATGTGCTCTTTTCACGAGGTAGCTCGTCGGACAGAGTGCCGTTTGGTGCAAGGTACAGTGTGCGGTAGTCGGTGTTGGGAACGGGGAAGTCCGGGAGGACAATGTCGTGGTTGACGTCTCGGTCGCCAAAGGGAAGAGTGGCCCACCGGACTTTGGGCGTTTTCTCCCAGTCGTTGTCAATTCCCTTGAGATATTTGTCGAAGAATTTCTTTGTTTGAACTCTCGTCAGCATTGAAAGACCATGACTCGTGTGGGGGGAAGAGTGTGAATCTCACCTTCAGCTCATTATAACTCTCGGGCACCGAATACAATTCAAACCACTCCTGGTATCCGCTCCATTTAATCCACTTCTTGTCCGTGTTGGCTTCCATCCACCCTCGAACCGCACCCATGGTGTGAATCTGACTAAAATCCGACCCGGTGATGAAGCACGGGATATTGACCTTCTTCATATCCACGCGCTTATCATCCCAGTATATGTTCGCCTGCGGTTTGCGACGGTACATTTCCGCAAAGTCTTCCACTCCATGGTGACCCTTGATGACCAAAGTCGTGATCAGATCGTAGTTACTCATGTTGAACCAGCCTCCGCGACAGAATTGTTCACGGAAAATATCCCCCGAACCCTCCCAGGGCGCAATGGCCTTGAGTGATGGCGGGTTCTGAGCAGCGGCATGCCACTGCATAATAGCGAGGTAAGAATTGCCGGCCATACCAACGTTGCCATTGCACCAGCCCATCTTGGCCAGAGCTTCAATCACGTCATGCGCATCCTCAGCTTCTTGCAATCCCATGCATGGAGTGTCGCCGTCACTGTTGCCGGCTCCGCGCGAATCGACACTGGCAATGGCATATCCGCGCGCCACCCACCACGCTGGATCCAGCCCTTCGAACTTTTCCAGTCCGCTCACTTCCTCTCGCTTCATACAGCAGGCCCATGTGCAGACTTCGAAGATCATGTCTAGACAGGAGTACTTTTTGCCGTATGGCGACCAGGAAACAATGACAGGGACTTTCTCCTCGGTTGTTGGCCGGTAGATATCGGCGTACAAGCGGCAGCCATCGCGGACGACAATCTCCACATCGTGATCAATGCGAATGTCCGAGTCGAGTGTCCTCGCATTAAAGGGTGCTGATCCCTTTGCTAGCACCTCTGACCTGTCGGGCGTTGGCTCAACATAGCCATTGACGCCCACCTCGGGCTTGTTGAGGGGTTTGTAAGCGACTTGGTAAGGGATAGGCATGGCAGGAGAATGGGATGCTTGAAGAATGGAGTATGTTGACGGAACAAAACCCAAGGAGCTCGGGGGTAATGAATCATGTTAAATTGTTCGGATCTCTGCAGTATTATCGCAATCGCAAAGCACAGGAAGCACCACCTCGGTCCGGGAAATGGACACAAGTGGTCTGTAGTCGGTTCGCTCATCTCCTTCGCGATTGTTGATTTTCCAGCCCATATTGGCCAAAGTGATTGTAGAAAGAGTGGGGTTTGTTTTCATTGCGGCCGGAGTTGCCATGGCGGCTTCCCCACGGGGAAGATGTGCCGAGCTCGGCTGAGGTCTACTCGGTTGAGGCTTACTCGGTTGAGGCCTACTCGGTTGGCGCATCTCGGTTCGTGCAGCTCCGCTCACATAGCGCGGCTGGTTTTGCCTTTGCTCTTTCTCTCACTCTCCTTGGTGGAGGGCAGGGAACATAGCTTTTTACTGGCACCCCCACTACGTCCCGTGAAGCACACGGCGTCGATTTGAGTTCACCAGTGCAGTATGCCTGTCGGGCGGGGCTTGCATCATGCACGTTGGCGGGTCTTCCTTTGCTGGTTGCGGGGAGCTCAAGCCCATCGCAGCTCAATTGACCGGAAGATGTGGGGGATCCGCGACTGGAACAGATCCAAACAGCCGAGTGTCAGACCGATCTTCTGCTCGAAGTAGCCCAGCCGAAGCGAGCCGGACCGGTGGCTCGTTAGGCTCGGTTATGTTGCGTGTCGCATTCAAGGAGATAAATAACTTGGCGACGAGAAACTTCATGGTCTTCATCGTTTCATCTTTTCGGGATTCTTAAGACAGAAAGAACAAACTCACGCAATCAAAAGCTTTACACAGAATGTCCACAACCACCGAGACAAAGCAGCAGCGCAACTTTGCGACTCGCTTCGAGACCAAAGATCTTGTGACTTTTGACAAGGATACTATCTACGGTGACTGGCGCGACGAGTTCCACAAGAATGGCTGCGTCTTGATCAAGGGCGTCATCTCTCCCGAGCGAGCCCAATACTACTGCGACAAGCAAATCGAGTGGTTGAAAAAGTTCGAGCTCGGATTCGACGAGAAGGATCCCAGCACCTGGACCGCCGAGCACCTCCCGGTCAGCTTCAAGGGTGGCATGTATTTTGGCTATGGCTCCAACCACGAGAAGATGGCCTGGGAGGCTCGTACTGAGCCCAACGTTGTTGCTATCTTCGAGAAGCTCTGGGGCACCAAGGAGCTGATCACATCTTTTGACGGCATGAACATCTCCATGCCTAACCGAAAGGACCTGACCTGGAGCCCTTGGCCTCACTGTGATCAGAACCCCAAGCGCAAGGGGTAAGTGAAAACCGATCTAGCAATTTCAAACCTTAGGCTCACACTTCGATTGTACTATAGTATGCAAGCAGTCCAAGGCCTCCTCAATTACGCCCCGAACGGTCCCAAGGATGGCGGTCTCATGCTCATGAAGGGTTCCGCTGCCCTTTTCAACGAGTTCTTCGAGCAGAAGCGCGAGTCCGCCGACCACGAGGATGCCCCACCCCCCGAGCTCGAGATGATGGATCTCTTCCTTTTCAGTGAAAAGGACAAGAAGTGGTTCGAGGATCGCGGCTGCGAGATGATCAAGGTCAACATGGAGCCCGGTGACTTTGTTCTCTGGGATTCGCGCACCATGCACTATGCCTGCCTGCCTGAGGGTGAACAGATCCGTCATGTGCAGTACATCTGTATGACGCCCCGAAAATTTGCCGATGATGATGCCCTGGAGGCGAAGAAGTACTGTTTCGAGAACTGGCTGGGCACTACTCACTGGCCTCATTGGTAAGTTTTTTTCTACTCCTTTCCTTTGGTGTCGCGGTGAGTGCATCTCAACATTCAAATGCTAATGACTTTCTTAGCAACATCCGCGTGGCCGAGGACAAGCCCATGAGAAACGGAAAGATTTGCCCCAAGTACCGAACAGAGCCTTTTGAGAAGCCCGAGCTCACTGATCAGGTTCTTCAACTTGCCGGTGTCAAGCCTTATTGAAGGATGAATTGGCAGTGATGAGAGACATGTTTCATTTCCAAGTAGCTTTGTTGTACATTCTATTCACTATTCTTGCGGTGCATTCTTCGTTGGTCGAGATCACTGCCTGTAGCAAATTTGCATGCAGTTAGTTCATTCGAACAAGAAATTCAAAATTACAACCAGAGTATTTTCTCTGTTCAATGAATATGTCGATCTTGGGGGGCCTGATCTAGTGGAATGGTCGATACTGGGCATATTTGATCAACTGCTTTTGGTCGATCAGCTCTAAGACCACCTTGGCCGAGCAGATAATGCCTGCTTTGCTGGGACGAATTGAGAATTATCGCTGGACTTGCCTGTGACAATATCCATGGTTCTAGGTGTCATCGATACTTTCACTCCGACCCACTCTCAAATATAAAAAAAACCAAGAAAGAGTGAATCTTCTAAGTAGACACGAATTTCATTCCTAAGGGAGTACACCTTGCGAACAAAAACTTTCAACCTATTGACATCATTGAAAATCAGGTAGCAGTTCCTCTCACGCGCAGATTACCTTTAGCCATGTGCATTGAGACCATCACAGTCCATGTGGGCGAACCGAAGATCGAAGAAGTGGTGGAAGGGGGAAACTCTAACGTCTCTCGGCTCGGCTGGGTCACCCCATCAGCCTCTTCCTAAATACATCCCAAAACTGGAGTTGTCTCAATGCCGGAATCCCACCCCAGAAAAGCCACCCCCAACGTGTCTCCCAGTGCTCCACCTCCCTCAATTCCTCCATGCTTCCCCCACAACTGCCGACGGCATGAAAGTGCGGGGGATTCACTTTCCATGTGGGCAAGCGTCTGGCTCTGGCTAGGGGCGAGGTCTGATTCGGAGGGAATAGCCCGAGTGGGCTTGGTTTGGCGAGCGCGCAGACTCCCGGTTGAGTACCAGCAACGAAAGGATCCGATCGTGGCACACTGCAGGTGTCAGTGCAGCGAATAGACTTGTCCTGATTGTCACTGATGCTGTAGAGGAGACCGTACTCTTCTATATAAAGGTCAGTAACCCCACGCTCCTACGCTGTATCTACTCCATAGCATCGACGGCTGTCGTGCAATTGTCGCTGCTCATCCCTATCATCTCCACCGTTTTTTGACTCGAAATCCTTGCAGAGATGACAGACAAGGAACCTCCAGCAAGCCACGTCGAGAATCTCAGTGTCGAGGAGCTCGGCGAGGATATGCATATCTCCAAGTCCAGGGTGAATGTGACTGGTACGGTGCAGCTCACTGCCGGAAAGATTGTGTACATCCCAACTCCGACCAGTGATCCTCGAGGTTCGTTTGAAGCTCTGAAAGTCGTACATCATTGTCTGTTTGTTAATGGATGAAAACATGAAGACCCTCTGAACCTGGGCAAATGGCAGAAAACGATGATCTTGATATCAATCTCTTTATGTGAGTTGCCCTTCCACAGGTCGAAGTTATGCCTTGATATAAAGAGACTGATTCGGAATAGTTTCGACTATTGGCCTGTCCCTCGTTTCTGGGTTTGGTGGTCTATTAGGGTTCTATATTCCTCAGTATGCCGCTGCCGGTAAAACATACGCGGATATCACATCTCTGATGACTTATCCCACCTTGACCATGTATGTTGATCATCTCTGATGCGCATACTTGACGGTCGACTGATATCACATAGGGGCATTGGGAACCTAATTGGCATGCCATTGGCAATTGCAGTGGGCCGAAGAGTCGTGTTACTTGTTGCGACGGCAATCATGGTCATTGGTGCCATTCTTTGCGCTTATGCCGACAATTTTGAACACCATCTCGCGTTCCGGATGTTGATTGGTCTTTCTGCTGGTCAGAGTGAGGCTCTTATCCCGATGATAACTCAGGTGAGCAATAGAAAAAAAAAACAGCAGTGCTATTCCACCGATATCCTGAGGATTCTACCGCTCGGAAAATTAACTTCAGCTGCTCCTCCGATAGGAAATCTTTTTCCTCCACGAGCGAAGCACATTCCTCATGCTCCAGCAGAGCATCCAGACCATCGCTACCGCCGTCTTCACTTTGTTTGCTAGCCCAATTGCCAACGCTATCACACCCCAGTGGTGGTACGGTCTTGGTGCTTGCATTTCTGGTGTGTCCTTGATTATGAGCGCCGTCTTCGTTGTCGAAACAAAATACGACCGCCCCAAGTCTTCATTTCAGGAAATTGAAACCAGCGACGACTCAGATCAAGTGTTCAATGACCAGGGCAAACCATCGGACCTCACTGTTGCCACCGAGCGGCCCCCTCTGGACTTTGTCACCTACCAGGCACGCACCTGGCGCTCTGACTTGCGCCTGTGGGTTGGTCGGCCTGAATGGCGCAGAGGTCTGGATACATTCATCGTAAGTCGATTCAAATCACAACTTCGCAGTGAAACAGTATGCACAATGGATGATTCTTACTTTCCTTACTCAGCAATCTTTCCAACTACTTCTCTTCCCCAATGTCCTCTGGGCCATGGCTCTTAATGGTCTCACCCTGGGCGTCAATATTGCCATCGGCACCACCTACGGAAACATCGTGACAACCCTATATAACTGGCCCCAAAAGTCCGCCAGCTACGTCAATTGCGGCCAAATTGTCACTTCACTCATAGCCCTCCCCGTCTTTGGCTTCGGCTCCGACCGACTCATCAAATGGTTCGCGAATCGACGCAACGGCATCCACGAGCCCGAGACGCGTCTCCTACCTCTTATCTTCCCTATCATAGTGGGCACATTCACTGCCGTGCTCTACGGCATGGGCGCCACACACCCAAGCGAGTACCACTGGTTTGTATATGTGTGGGCCGTGGCTGCATACTACTTCGCCTTCGTCGGTGCCAACATCGTGGCCATCACATATCTGCTGGACAGCTATCCGCAGCGAGCGAGTCCCTTGTTGATTATTATTTGCGCTTTCAGGGGCATTATCTCTTTTGGAGTGAGTTATGGTATCCAGCCTTTCATTGATGAGAAGGGGTACGATGGCGCGTTTGGCACCTTTGGGGCCTTGACTGCTGTTTTCGGTTTGCTGGGCATTCCTGTGTTTATTTGGGGACGGCGAATTCGTCAGATCACTGGTAAATATGCTGTGGACAAGGAGTGAGAGCCAGGTGCGCTCATTCGTGTGTTTGCTTATGAAGGTTTTTGTTTTTTTGTGTATATATTTCCCTGTTCACTTTGGTCTTGTACAGCCGTGTAGCAAGTGCCCACCTAATCATGACATTAACAAGCTTGCTCCTAGAAACGTGTGAGAGGAAGAATGAATGACTCACTATGAAACCTGACCGCGCCTTAGATGCGGAGAACGCTATCAGAAAGACCGGTCGAACATCTATCAGCCTACGAACTTGAATGAATCGCGTTTAGTCATGGAACCGGAGCAACAGTCTGAATGTACTACTAGCAAAAGACTCCAGGGCTCTTATTCAACACAGTAGATGAAGTCTTGTCTCATTACAACATACCGCTACATATGGCAGCTTCTTGAATGAATCCGTGATTCACACGTAGACATTCACCGGCTGTCCTTTCTCATTATCACGCAAACCTCCAACGATAGACGCATGCACAAGTATACACCCTGATTCTACCATTGAGTGAATCCAAGCTTAAAACACCCACTCCTCAGTAAAGGATTCCTGAATCCTCCTCGATTAGAAATAGTCCGCCTATAATCCCTTTGTAGTTTATCAAACGCCATGCTGTCAGTCTCGGCGCCTTCATAAACATGGCCGAATACATGAAGTTTGGGCCAAACCTTCCATAGTGTCTGCAAACGAGAAGGACAGCCATATTTTAGCAGATCGAGGCGCAAGTGGTAGGCTGTGAGCGATGCGACTTAAAGCTGAGTCAGTCCAGATACCCTGGTTGCGAGGGTATCGAAACGTCGATTCCCATATTGAGGGAAGGAGGACTTTCGTAAATTCGACTCTCACACTCTCGATCATTCTGGACGCGGGATCTCATCACCTCCTGATTCTTCAGGCAGATATACAGAAAATCTTATTTGGGGTTGACAGGGGCATGGCGACGATGGAACGGTTTCAGTTGTAGACTGTTGGTGCGAAAACAACGATCGGCTGAGTTCAGGGTCCCTGCCATGATGCTGGTCACCGTCGAGAGATGATTTCATGGAGATTGGACATAGCTCGAGACTGGAGATTCAGCATTGCAAGGTGTCTTCAAGATCGAGTGGAATATTGAAGTGGTCCCAAAGTTAGGGTTTCCTTACATGGCATGTGATACTGCCTCTTACCACAGTCCATAGCCTATGTAAAGAAGAACCTCTCCTCCCAGGGCAATCTCACCTTCCCCCGTCTCTCACGTTCTGCAGCTACCCCTACCTCAGTGATTGTATACCATCAGGTTTCACTCACAGGACATGGTATTAGAGGCTACTGTGAGAACGTAGCAGACCCAAAAGAGGGGAGAAAGGAATAGTGAGATTACATCTAGTAAGAGGTGCCTATCTAAGCTACGAAGGTGGTGTACGTAGGCGCGCACCACGCTAGTAACACGCCTGACCACCAAGCTATCTCAATACCCCCCTAGACCTCGATCCACCAATCTCACTCAAAACACGAAAAAACATGAAAAGTGATCATACAAATATATTAATAACGCCTTAATACAGCTTTTTAAGCTCAAAAAGGTGTTTAAACCCTTAGAATTAAGCTCGCTAGAAAGGCTATTAAATCAGAGCTTTTTCATGCCTAAAAGGTATAGAAACCTCTCGAATTAGACTCGCTATAGCGGCTTAGTAAAGCTATCTGCTACCTACTCTGTAGTAGAGATTTTGACGAATTTATATACCCCCCTAGAGACTTAGTCTCTAATATAATAGTATTTAACGTTGATATACTTCGTTCGTTAGTATAAATCATAGCTTTCAGTAAGATAAATAGCGCCTTAGTTATCCTCGTAGATTATAGTAGGAAGTTATAAAAGGGACTCTATATTAAGTTCCTTAAGGAAAAGCTATAGCCACAATACCTCTTAGATAGCTAAAGATGTAGCTATATACTCGCTTTCTGTAGAGGAAAGAGTAACGTATATTTACTTTTTATAAGCCTAAGTAATCGCACCATTCGCAAGCTTAAAAAGAAAGCCGGAGGTTAATATACTACTATCCGTATATTTACCGGCCTAATCTATATCAACGAATCTAAAGAGGGGGTCTAGTAAGTAGGAATACGCGATAGTAAGCGTTTCAGAATCCTTAAGATATCGAAAGATACGCTTTAATATAGTTATATACTTCGCGGAGGGATTATACGTATATCTTATAAGCTTTATAACTATAAATATAATATCTAGTCGCGTATTAACTATTAGCTAAATAAGTAAGCCTACTATCTTACGGTAAGCTTTAACTTCCGCCAGAGTAGTAGTATCCTTACGCGGTTATAGGATCTTCTTATTATAAAATAGCGTAGGGACTATATATATATCTTATAGGTTAAATTTCGCGAGGACTTTACGAATATAGATAAGCTAAGAGAGCTTTACCTTACTATCTATATAAACGATATTAATCGTAAGGAATTATATAGCAGTACCGTTATTAGTAATATCGAAGGATTTTCGAATATAGTCCTTAAGCTATATAAGAGATATATCCAAAGGCGTGATAATTAGTATATTATTAACGTATATAAGAAGGTAAAGCTTACGCTTTAAATATATAAAGACCGAATGATTAGCTTATAAACGACTAAACCTAAGAGCTATAAGAGCCCTATAAATAGTATTATACTATTCGCGAGGACTCTGTTTTAGACCGTATAAAGTCTTTAAAAGAAGACCGTATTTTCTAGGCTCTTTAAAACTATTAGGAAGTTAAATATAGATTTCTTCAAGAAGCTCTACGTTAAGAAACGCCGTAACAAAGTTAATATAATATATCTACTAGCCGAAATACGTAGCGATTACGCAGAATATTTTAAAGCTTAAAGCTTTAGCTATACTTATATAAATATTAAGATAATCGATTCCTTCGCGTTACTTAAACCCTTTTACAACGAGACACGCTTTATAGGTCCTATTATTCTTAATACGAAAGACCTATCAAAGCGGAAGAAGCGTCTTTTTAGTACCCTTAGTAGGAAGATTATATACGCGCTAGGTACCGTTTATTAGCTACTTATATATTTCCTTATCTATAGCTTCAATCTATTTAGTCTATTTATCCTTACTATAATTCTATATTATATCCTACTAGCTATCTAGTTTATATAGCATTAACTAAGCTAAAGCTTAATATAAAAGCTTTAGAAGTAGTTATACGTCTATAGCTATACTATAAACTAAAAAAGTAGTATATTTAATATAATTAGCTAGAGCTATATTTAAACACTTAAGAAAACGTAAATATTCCTCTAACTCTATAGCCGCTTAAGTCTTCTTACGGACTCGTAAGGAATACCGAAGACCTATCTTAGATATATTTTAAGAACTACTTTCGATAGTTTCAGGATTAGCCTCGACAGTTTCAGAACTACCCTCGATAGTTTCAGAACTACCCTCTATAGTTTAAAGATTATCGTTAATATTTCTAGGACTACCCTCGATAGTTTCGGAACTATCCTCTATAGTTTAAGGGCTATCGTCGATATATTTATTCTATTTATAGGTGAATCTCCGCTTAATCTATTCCCGAAGCTTTTTAAGTTAGACTTCGTGTTTAAATAAAGAAAATAGTATATTAGACCGCTTAGATAATAGTAGATCTCCTATTAGAATATAAGGAGATAGAGTTACTAGCTATACTAGCTTACTAGGGTTATTAGCTAAATCTAGCTAAATTAGTTAATCGCTATTAGCCGGTAGGAAATCCGATAGTATATAACGTCGTTAATTAGCCGTAGATTACGCAGGAACTAACTTTAACTCTGTATCGAGATCGTATATAGGCTTAGGTAGATCCTTCGTTATATTCTTATTAAAGACTATATTACGAGAGACTACGATCTTCTTTAAATAAATATCATAGAGTCGATATCTATTAGTACTATAGCCTACTAGCCTTACTTTAGCCATATACAGAGAAAGCTTATCTACCCTACGTTCCTTTAGAATTAGATACTAAGCTTAGTAGCTAAGGGCGCGTAGATTTAAAATATCTAGCTTTTTACTATAGAAAGCTTTATATAAAGTTATATTAATAGTAGACTACTAGAGACGGTTTATTATATAATTAACACCTAAAAGTAGCTCGCCCTATAGATATTTAGGAAGCTAATTCTTAGCTAATATAGCGATTAGCGGCTTAATAAGCTAACGATTCCTAATCTCCGTAATACTGTTAAGCTAAGGTATATAGGGGGGAATAGGGTCCTAAATAATACCGTTTTCTTCGCAAAAAGTAGCGATTTTAATATGTTCTTACGTATTATCGCCTAAAATCATCTTAACTTTATAGTTAAATTATATTAAAAAGTAGGTTACTAGTATATAAATCTTATTAGTAATTTCGCTTTTAGTCTTTAGTAGGAAGACCTAACAGAAACGCGTTATATTATTAGTAACGGTTATAAAATAACGATAGCCTCTAATACCTATAATAGAAATAGGATCCTAAATATCGATATAAAGCTTCTACGCTAGTATAGTCTTAATACGCTTACCTCTTCTAAAAGATAAGGAGTATCCCTTCCCTAGGATATAAGGAGGATATAGAAATATAATACCGGAACCCTTTTTAATAATAATTCCTTCTATAAAATCAGATATACGCTTAACCTTTTACTCGTCTATATAGTAGGCTCTACGATAAGCTAGATCTATTAAAATAGGTTAAATCTTACCGATTTAAGAAGCTATAGCCGAATCTATAGCGGGTATATAACTATTACTAAATACGTAGGATAGTTAAACAGATAGAGCTCTAAGTATATTAATATAACTATTACTATTATAGGTACGGACCTAATATTAACCGTTCTCCTACTTAGCCGTAATAATAAGCTCTGCCCTCCTATAGAGGGAGCTATATTCCCTATTAAATCGAGTCTTAATACCAGAATCCTTCGTAAGTTACTATAAAGAAATAAGATTTATATTAAATAAAGAAATATACTAGACTTTAAGTAGCTTAAGCTCAGA